ACCACGCCAAAGCTGGAGGCGTCAGCCCTAGGTTTCCCAGGCGAGGTCGTTAGTACGAGTGTGACTCGATATCATACGTGGTCGTTTGCACCTCATTGTTTGCATGTGCATGTTTTGCATGTTGCATATTGTATGTCATATATCGCACTTGCACTCTGCACCTTGCACTTGCAGCACTTACACCTTGCACTTGCACCTGCACCTTGCACCTTGCACCTTGCATTTACACGTTGCACTTGCACTTGCACTTTGTATCTTGCATTTTCACTTGCACCGACACCACTTGTGTTTCTATCGGTCGTCTCGGACCTGTCAGCACCACTTGTGCCTCGATCGGTTATCCCGAACCAGTCAAATCACTTGTGTTTCAGTCGGCTACCCCGACCCGGTTGGCACAACACTTTGGTTTGACCGGATGCTCCCTCCCCATCGACTGAACACTCCTTTGCATGTTGTGTATGTGCATATACGTGTTTGTCTGCATGTTTGATATCATCTACTTGAGTTGTATTTTTTCATGTCATTGCCTTACCGACATACCTTCTTTTCGGGCTGCTGCCGTCACGACATTCTCACATTCGGGTCACTGCCTTACCGACATACCCACTTTTCGGGCCGCTGCCGTCACGACATGCCCACCTTTGGGTCACTGCTTTACCGATATACCCTCTTTTCGGACCGCTACCGTCACAGTATGTCCACCTTCAGGTCACTGCTTTACCGGTATATCCTCATTTTTTTATCTTCGAATCTCATTTATATCGAAGATGAATATAATCGTCATTTGCCCGCTGAGAATGATGAAACACTCTGTAGATGTGTTTCTCTGATGAATGTTGCTATAAATCATATATTATGCATAAACCAGATTCTTTTATTTTTCATCGATAACAATATAAGGTGAATTTGGTTACATTTAGTTGAATGAGTAAGACAAAAAAATGAAGATTACTTCTTTTAAATGTACATCTTAAAGATTTCTAATGATGCTTTTCTCTCTCATGTGGCTTTTATGAGAAGCAACCCATTGGTGTTAGAAAAAGTGAGAAATTCCCAGTGTTTTTGGAATTGTCTTAACAAGGCTAATTTAAATTATGAATTGACAAATCGTGGGAATCTTTTGCTATTGTTTTCTTATGATATTATTGATCTTCTTCAGAAGTTGTAATATTTGTCCTAACGATACTTCTTTTATCAAAATTTAACGATCTAGTTACCTTCTAATACTTATTTGTTTTTTTCTCTAGTTACCGTCACAACATTCTCACATTCAGGTCACTGCCTTATCGACATACTCACTTTTCGGGCCGCTGCCGTCACGACATGCCCACCTTCGGGTCACTGCCGCCAAGGCATGCCCACCTTCGGGCACCTGCCACTACGGCATTCACCTTCAGGTTACTGTTTTACCGGTATACCCTCTTTTAGGGTCGCTGCCGTCGCGGCATGCGCACCTTTGGGTCAATGTTTTATCGGTATTCTCCCTTTTTCGGGCCCCTGCCGCCACGACATGGTCATTCCTACGAGTCACCGCCTTCACGGCTTACTCTTTATCACTACTTATATGTTTTGATCTGCTTGCATTTGCATTCGCATGTTTGCATGGATAACAAACTAGGCTTGTTAGGAGAGTGACCACGTGTTGGTCGCGATGTCTTAACGAGCATTGCTTGTTGGGTTGATCCTGGTGAGCAATGCGAGTTAAGTCATCGAAATTGACACGTGTATGAAAATGCTAAAGATTTAATAGATCTAAATCGTGTCACCTCTCTTCGTGACACACTTTAGATCCTTCAGATCTTTAGGATGAGGCCAATATGAAGACCCCGTGAAAATCATACTATACCTAGACTTACCCCGCACTTAAATATTAGGTTCACGCACTTTTCGTTAGATGATGTATTAGGCTAGGATTTAGGGTGTTAGGTAGTCTTTTTGATGTCTGACTATTGTTTTTTGCTGGATTGGTTGCCCTAGTCAGATATTTTTTTTTTGCTTATGCTTGTAGTATGACTACATGTTGCATATGCTTGGTAGTGTGTTATGGCTTTTTTTCTGCAGGGAGCCATGTCTATTTATATGCACACACACAAGTACCGCTATTGAGAAGCATGTGATGATTTTTGACCCTTTTGTTTGCAGGTACTATTTAGCTTTTGACTTTTAAGGCATGACTCATTATACATTATTTGCATGCGAGCTTCCCCGCTGACACTTGTTTTCATGTAGGATTTAGTCATTTTCTTTTTTTTGCGTACCTTTTAGAGTCTAGGAGAGTATTGTAGCAGAAATAAGATACGAGCACGAGTTCCGAGGCGTCGAGGCGTTTGACGCGTGAACCACGTGGAGGGGATCAGAAGCAGATGCTCGTGCCTCGTATCTTAATTGTGCATTTTATATTGATGCATATAATTAGGGCCGGGCATGTATATGCGGAGTCCGACCGTCCTTTTTCTTTTCTGAGATATGTTGTCGACCCAACGACACTGACCTGTTTATTATTTTAATTTGACCTGTTTTGCTTTTACATCATGTTGCATGCTTACACTTGCATATATTTTTTTTTGTTTCTTTCTGTGGCTTATCTGAGATTTCACAATGGAACATAGGCTTTTTAGGACTTAAATTCCTAATTTTATACAAAAGTCCTAAATAAAATATTCAGGATAATTAAAATTTAGGATTAAAATATTCAGGAGTTAAAAATTGCAACATTTACTTTCCTGCATATATTAATAGGGTCTCCACAATACTTAGGACCGTTCTAAATAACTGTATTCATATTTGCATGTCCCGAGGAGGAGTCCCCGTACTTCTCCAACCTGACTGACCCAACATATCTTCATATAGGTGGTTGTCTAGCGCGCCTAGGGTGTTAGAAGACTCCTCGACCCAGACAGGATATAAGTCCTTTTGTTTGGAGCGTTTCCAGCTTTGTAGCTGAACATCAACTTTTTCTTCTTTCCTGAGGCATAATTGTCACTTCGGCAGGTATAAGTTTCACATCTTGGAGCTCCAACTTATAGTCATAGGATAAAGTTTCCTTCCTCTAACCTTAGGGCTACCAAGGTTCCCGTGGATGATGTAATTCATGGATTGCTGACTGGGGATTTCAGGACGTGTTGGGTCGACTAACTTTACGACCAAGTAGACTTAGGGTCCTAGTAGCTGTGGATGACGGGTCTGTGGTACCCCGATCCAGTTACCTCTACCTTTCTTTTTGTTGAGTCCCTTTGAGCCTTATCGCTCTTTGACTTCCTTGAATCACTTTGACGGCCTAATGTCGATGAGCTGCCGCCCATTTAGGATACGATGATTTGTTCTCTTCCCTTATGACCCGGACGTGCTTTGACGTGTTGGGATATTCCGTCAAGATGATTTATGTTATTCTGTGGGCCCCGTGTGCCGATTAACCGCTGCCCATGTGGGATGTGAGAGACTCACCTTCTGCCTGATGGCTTAGCGTGAGCTTTGAAGCATCGAGACTGTTCCCACACGGAATAACCTTCCTTTGATTGCCTATACCCGAGGTCTATGATAATATAAGCAAAACTCCTTTTATCGAGAGTATTCTTGGGTATCCTACATGACGTAATTAAGCAGTAGGAACACGTTCCTCTAGGAGTGCCTTGACCCCAGAAAATGTACATACACCTGACTCTCTGGTTATGGGTAGTCTACGTAGATATTTCTTTTGCGGATATTGGTTTAAGGCGTCTCCGCCCAATCTTGTTTGGGCAGACATTCTTGACATATTCTTGCGAGGTTTATCGCACGTAGGCTCTCCACGTTTTACTTTTTCTCTTGTTTATCTCTTTGTCATATGTCCCTTATTATTCGGTTTCTCCCCTCTTCGAATCACTGATATGATTCAGGAGGGTGATTTATTCGAATAAAGGAAGTATACGATGATCGACAAACTGACGACTTCTTTTTAAATAAAAAAAAGAGAAAAACGAACGGAAACACCACTTTTTGACCCCCGTTGAGAGATAAGTGCCTCTCCATCCTTCGCTCCTCAGCACGGGGCTTAACACCCTGATCTTCAACACCTCACTATAATACATCCTAATTTGCCATATCCTTTCCCTCTACAGCCACCTATTATGTATTTTTTCCCCGGTCGCAACCTGGTCTACAACAATCACGTCATCCTCTCGGTTAACATTAATACCTATCGATACAGTACCGACGGTCAAGATTTTGGTTATTGCCAAAAAAAAAAGATGCAAAAGGCAATTTAATGTAAATACCCAAAACACACTTTCATTCATATGTGGTGTAAGAAAACATGCTCACCTGCCTTCCCTAGTTCTCCACCATCAGAGAAAAGATAGTTCTTTGTTGATCGAAACCATGTCTTAGCTTCGGTCGCTGTCTTCTCAGAACCTCTCTGGGAACCATAGTCCCCACGACAACCTGAACGGACAAACTCGCTTCTGGCAGGAGCATTCACCTCCAACGAGTGCCCTGTAGGACAATCGTCAGGACGACCTCTAACCTGCTCCATAACCCTCTCCAAAGACAAGTTCAAAGGGAAACAAAAAAAACCAACTCGAGCCTCATTGTCACCGGTCCATAACTTAGGTACAATTCTCTTCCTACTCATCCCCTCAGCGGAAGCTTCATCCACATGCTTGTGATTCACGTTCGACTTACGAGCCTTTGCCCGCATATCACTCATGGCTTTGGGGATGATATTCTTATTGACAGACGATGCTCCTTCACCAGACGTCACGATAATCACATAGATAAAACAACATAAAACAATGAATCAGGAAGAAATGAAACTGGCGCAAACCTTCCTTACCTCAAGACCTATTTATATTGATTCGGGCATGTAAATCCAGGGAAGTACATTATTGCGAAATAATGTCATTTAAATATGTTGTACATGTTAAAAATATTCTCTTATCTTTATGTGTTGTGCAGTTTCTAGTAAGATAATCAGTGAACTAAATATGTATATGAGAAATATTTTGGTACGAATCGCATGACAGATGGACGACTTGGGAAGAAGATATGAGCGATCAGACGTAACTCGTAATCAACCATTGGTTTGGACACCAGCGAAGGGAGCACCTTATTTGAGCGATCGGTGGAGCGTGTCAGGGGATCTCTCTTAAGGTGGTGATTGGATATCAGGATGATCGACAAGGAGTATCCTCTCGGATCAGATGTTAACGAAGCTATGGCTCAGTAAGCGGCCAGGGAACTTCCTAACGATCGAACCAGTCTTCTAATTTTATTATATGCAAATATCTTCATAAATTACCAAAAATTTCCTCTGAGAAATCAATGATGAGGGGACTAATGTATACTTTTGTAATACTGAGATTTATGCCAATAAATTAAAGAACTGTATCATGAAAAAAAAAGGGCAACACTCTCTTTTAATGTTCTTTAGTGTACTCCCTCTCTCCTATATCTTGGGCGTGTTTTCCAAACATTTTTTGATTCAACAATTTTAACGCTAATAATTGTCAAAATGTAAATAAATTTATTCAGGATTTTTGATGGAATTGTTCTAATACTGTCTATGTTCCATCATACTAAAGATAGAATATAGATCATCCAATCTTTTAATGCTATAAATATAAATATGAAATTTTAGATATTAGATATGTAAATACATAAAATTTGTTGGGTATGTGCTTAAATTTTCCAAATGCAGTGGATTACTATCATTTGAATTTTAATTATTATTATTTAAATTTAATAACGATTAAGTTTATTTAAACCAATTTAAATTCACTGAGGTTATAAAATATATACAAGTTGTCATCCCCTGAATGGTTTGTATATGCTTTAACGTTCTTATCATTAAAATTTCTTAGGTACACAGCTTTTTCGGAGCTCTTACCTCTTCTAGCAGTCGGCACTACTCCGGCTTTGAAAATTAAAAAGATTTCTCAATCCATTGACAGCAAAAATAGAACCATAGTCAATACGACAACCCTTGCTAGTCCATTTGCTACTCTCTCTTTCAGTGCATCAGCTTCATTTGAAGTACAAAGTCCATCCAGGATTCAGGTAACAAAGTTTAATTTTAATTTCATGTTATTTATTACTTTAGTGGCAGTTAAATTTATCATGATTGGACAGGTAAATTTTGTACTTTTATGGCATTTTTGTTTGTCATTTTATTTTTTTCACTTAAAATAAGAATTATGTTCGGACTGTCTATTTATTCCCATTTGGAGAAACATATTTGACAATCAATCTAAAAAGTAAACGTATTTGTATTTAATTAGCGTTAGTTATCTGTTCAATCCATAATATTAAGTTCACTAAATACTATTCTCTTACAACAACAACAAAACAACAAGCCTTTATCCCACTAATTGGGGTCTGCTACATGAATACTATTCTTCTAGTTAAATATTATTTAATTCTAATTAATTTAAGATATCATCATAACCACTAATTGATTATCAACTTTTTATATTAATTAATTTTTCATTTAACTGATGTATATTTAATCAGTCAAATTAAAATTTTGTTAAAATAATAATCAGTTCACTCTTAAATTCCTTGGTTAATAATTGATAAATATTAATTAATTATTAATTACTGATTTAAATAGTCAAATAACTAATATTTCTAATTAAATGATTAATTAGTTATATTATATTGAATTGTATCACATTTAAAAAATTGTAATGATATTATGTGGTCCAAGTCCCTCACTACCCTTAAATTAACCTACATAAAGACTTAATTACGAATCACTGAGAATTCACTATTAATCCCAAACTGTACCATAATTATTACTAATAAACATCAAATCTCTTTTATAACCATCATATCCCCCATAAATCATTAATCACTACTAGTTATTGGCTAGGTAATTGATTAATTAATTATTGTACGCTTTATTATTATGATTACGTACTAACATCTTTATGTCCTTAACGTAAAATAGTTATCTCCTATTTGCCTAATTAAATTGTCATGCTGTGCTATTGTATTTAAATAATACTTTAAAAAATTATGATTTTAAGTAAAACTATAATTAATATTTTTTGGTGCTAATATGTTGTCAACAACGAGTCATTTAAATAAGTATTAACTAAAGCAGATATCCTATATCTAATTATCATTATTTAACCATGATAGAGCCTGAATGATCTTAGTATAACATTGAGTGAATTATAATTTAAACTGTTTAATATTTAATTAGGTCAACAAATCTTGGTAATCGAAGCAAGTACTTTTGTTTGTTTTCAAAACATGTGAAAAACACTTTTATAGGTGATGTTGATTTTGAGGAGTTTAGGGGCAGGGTTGCCAGGGAAAGGCTATACATTGATGTTTTACATGATGCACAAGCTTTTCTAAAGTAAGAATACTTAATAAAGTGTGGTTTCAAGGTTAATAAAGTTTGGTGACTATACTTATGAGAATAGGGGGTTGACGTGGTGTCGAGGTGATGAGGAATTCAATAATGACTTGGTGATCAAATGTGAAGGTCATAACATATATGGCACACTTGAATCATGGCATTAATCTATGCATGACTTGACACATACAACTCAAGGCCAAACATTGACCAATATAGACTGTTAAAACATATGATATGACTCGCAACGCACAATGGTCTACTTGAAAAGAAAATGCAATACTTAAAAAGTACATCATGAGGTTCCTTGCTGCCAATTAATCTAGAATCAATGACGTGGATGATTATTTCAAGCGATGTTCTACATGAAGCACATATTAACGTCTAGGGTTTTCTAATACAGATTTGTTTTGTAATGCTTAAATTATTCACATTCACATTCAAAATCATGATTCCAAATCCCTAATTCAGACAACTAATTTTACTTAGGATGAAAATTGAAAAAAAATAGAGAATCTAATACTGTGGATAATTTAGTAGTTTTGTATTGAAATTTTGTGTTGAAATTGAGAAACATAAAAATCAAATATTAGATTGAAAATTATGATGCTATTGAAAACTAGATTGTAATAAAATTTGACAGATATCATTGGGACTACTCAGCCAGTAAATAGGAATTAGAGAATAAGATCAAGAAAACTTGATCACCAAGCAGAAGACTCGAACCTTACATTGGTATAAGGAAGTATATTTTCTTGAAATCTTAGAAGGCTAGAAGGAATTACACCCAACTAGAAATTATTGAATTAACATAGAAGTCATATTGAATTAATAAAATAGCATCCTTTTATAATATTTACCCATGAAATGCCTTTGTATCGAATAGAGCATGCTGGTGCAGGATTCTTAACTTGATAAAGACAAAGAAGAAAGATAACTCCAAGGAACTGATGTTTGTGGATGTGGGATCAATCTCATAATGATGAGCTCCATACTCGACATTAGTGCATATAACCTTTTTATCTCTTTGGAGTAAGTGAAGAAGTTGGATTATTGTGCAAGGAATGGAGTTGAGTGGCCTACGTTTGATCTTGTGCCCTACATTTGATCCCTTGCCATGGTTGTCGACCCCTTGCCACGAGATTCTATGCAATGTTATTGTGTGTCTGCCTCTCTCTCTCTCTCACTCTGTTTCTATGCTTTTGTTCGTCTTTTGTTTGTTACGAGTTTTTGGTGGTGAAGAAACCTACAAGCAATCAGATGTTGATTTTTTTTGGAGAAATAGATTGATGTTGTTCATCTTGTATGCACAAAATAATTATTTAGTGATTATTTGTATTTGTAGGTTTATGGTTGAAGTATCGTTTCACAATTTTTTGGTTCAATCCTTGATAAGATCATGATAATTATTTTAAGCCCCGCCCCATGATCATTAGGATCTCTTCCTTTTTTAAAATTTATACTGTATAATTCAATAGCATATCCACTTTCTTTTTCTTATGTGGGGGTTCAGGTGCTTTAGGATACATTTAATCTAAATCCAATGCAAAAATTTGGCTCGACAAGGGTCATGAATCGCGTTGGGCTCAAACACGAACCTTATTCAAATTTAATCAGATACAAAATTTATTTGGTTCAAGTCAGATTCAGAGTTGGTTTGATTTGAATTCTATTCATTTGCACACCTAATTAAATTACTATTTGATTTGGACAGCAAAATGATTAAACTAAAGACCTTCATTGTGATGTGTTATGACTTGTATGAATTCCTTACATGTCATTTAGGTTGACCAATGATGAATGATGAATGTACTGCTTACTAAATATAGTTTGCACTTTGTTTATGTAACCTGTATACTTTGTCCGCCTACTGACTTTCTAAATGTTTCTTCTGCATTCTTCATCACCAGTTTATGCTCTTACTTTCTGATTTTCCTCGACTTATTTGCTGTTGTATTCTAAAAAGCTGTACTTTTCTTACATATTTATATTTCTTTGGGGCATTTACATACATGCCACCTAATTCATATGTATTTACATATCCATCACTTAAATTTTGATTTTTTCATATTCATACCTCCCAAATCATTCATATCACATAAGAAAAACCTCTATTTTACCTTTTAAGAAGTGAATACAGCTTTTCATGCAGATTATGTAGTGTGTGTGTGTATAAATATACAAGTATAGCTGCTGATATGTAAATATATAAGAATTGAGTGGTATGAATGTAAATCTTCCTATTAGCTTGGCTCGTTTACAGCCCTAGTTATGACTTGTATGAATTCCTTACATGTCATTTAGTTGTGATGTGTTATGACTTGTATGAATTCCTTACATGTCATTTAGGTGTGATGTGTTATGACTAGGGCTGTCAATTTGGCTCGTTGTTCGTGACATACTCAATATAGTTTCCACTATGATGAATGATGAATGTACTGCTTACTAAATATAGTTTGCACTTTGTTTATGTAACCTGTATACTTTGTCCGCCTACTGACTTTCTAAATGTTTCTTCTGCATTCTTCATCACCAGTTTATGCTCTTACTTTCTGATTTTCCTCGACTTATTTGCTGTTGTATTCTAAAAAGCTGTACTTTTCTTACATATTTATATTTCTTTGGGGCATTTACATACATGCCACCTAATTCATATGTATTTACATATCCATCACTTAAATTTTGATTTTTTCATATTCATACCTCCCAAATCATTCATATCACATAAGAAAAACCTCTATTTTAGCTTTTAAGAAGTGAATGCACCTTTTCATCAAGATAATGTAGTGTGTGTGTGTATAAATATACAAGTATAGCTGCTGATATGTAAATATATAAGAATTGAGTGGTATGAATGTAAATCTTCCTATTTGTTTTTCTTCATACAGGTTCAGTTCAAAGAGGGAGCCCTTCAGCTTCCGGAAGTATCATCAACTGTGAATCTTCCTGAAAAATTTGAAATATTTGGACAGAAGATTGATCTGCATCCTGTTGAACGGGCACTGAATCCATTACAGCAGGCTGTCGCCAACATCTTCCGCGTTATATCTGGCCAGCCACCTCTCAGGCTTCCAATTCCTGGAAACAGGGCGAAATCTTGGCTGTTAACAACCTATCTTGATCGGGATTTTAGAATTTCAAGAGGAGACGGTGGCCTGTTTGTGCTCGCCAAGGAAGGAAGCCCTTTGCTACAGCAACTCTCATGAAATCTGTTTGGACTCGTATGTAAGAATTTTATAAGCATTGTTAAGAATTTGAGTTCGAATCTCATTTATGTCGTGATAAATGACATTTTGTCCAGTTTTTGGTAGGATCTTTATTTTATTTCTGATTTGTGAAAAAAATTGCATCTTTTAGCATTGAATAATTTTGCTATTTGCATCTGCATGCTAGTTCACATACATGCAATTATAGGTTTTGGGTTTTGGATTCGATTTTGTTGTGGAAGTTAAATTTACGAATTTTGAAGGTTGGAATTGAAATTTTATTTTGTTCCATTTGCTTGGGTGTATTTTCAATGCTATACTAATTCCATTGTTTTGTCATGTCATGATATAGTTGACAGAATCAGGCAAAGTTTCGGTAGCCCCCAGAAAAAAGGTTCAGAATATAATTCTAATTAAAATTCTCAATATATTTATGAGTTGCTCAGCTTTTGTTTTGATTTCATCTTATTTCATAAATAAATAGTTATTATACCTGTTATTTTTGGCTTCCATTACTATTTCTTTCAGGTTGCTATAGTTTTTAAAAAAAAGGATCATTGTAAAACATCAAGAGAGTATTTTTCAGACATTTACAGTGGAAATTATAAAGATATTTTTTTAATAAAATCGAACAATAGTTTTGTTACAGCAATCACATTTTTACACAGGTTGAAAGTGGTAATTTCTCAGCACAAAAATTTTTGAAAATTAACAATAAAATAGTTGCCTAAATGGAGTTGTGATGTTGGCATGAAATGCAAAACAGACAGAAAGATGTAACGAACAGATCTTGATTCAAGATTTTGTCAAAAACATTAACAAATGAAGTTAGAAGATTAGGAAAATGTACATTCATACCACAAATTTGTTATATATTTATATATCTAATATCTAAACTTCTATATTTAAATATATAGCACTCAATTTTTTAGCTAAAAATTTGAGTGCTATGCATGCAAATATAAAGGATAGGTGTTAAAGAGCATGTAAAGATAAAGCATAGGTGTTAAATAAATAAATTTGCAGGAATTATGTTGTAAGTGTGTAAATACATGGCTTCTAATAGGATTTATGAGTCAAAACCGTAGCCAACAGCTAGAAATAGGAAATGATTGGGTGATGCCCATAAGCACAGATTGAAGAGAGAATTTAGATTTATAGTGAGTAGGAAATGGGAAAAAAAATAGTTATGTTGTCTATGTCATATCTATCAGATCAAGTATCCAGTTTAGGACATATCTATCATATCAAGTGTCGAGATCTAATTTGTCTCAGGTATTACATATCTAGGAGTGTAAATGAAATGAGCCGAACACAAGTTGTTCATGAATAACGAGTCATGTTGACAATCCTAATTACACAGTTAGGATGTTCAGTGTAGAGGTGAGATTTACATAGTTTTTATTTATATTAAAATATTTCTATTGATTAAAAATTTATGTAGCCTTGAAGTTATATATATATATATATATATACATAGTGTTTTAGATCAGTTGATAGTCATCTGCTTCGTCAGTTGTAAGTCCCCTATGGTCTGGGGTTCAAATCCTCCTCAGGCAGTGGATGTTATATGGGGGCGGTGATCGAGTGGTTTGCCACATGAGTTCGACCCAGATCTGAGTAAGTCCCCTGTGTTCGGCTCATTTTCTTAGCGAATGAATTGAATACGAGTTACTTAAATAGCCAAACACGAGCTATTCACGAACAACGAACCGTTTTGGCATCCCTATAGATACCTCCTAAATTATGGGTATTAATGCATTATAAATTATTTAGGGGGTGTTTGGCTTCAAGTTGAATTTATGTTAAACATGATTTATTAAATCCGGTATATTCGTATTTTTTAAATCTAAATATTATTAAATTTGAAATGATGTCTGGTTTAATTAACATTAAATTCAGTTAAATTTATTTAATGTATTAGACATAAATTTATTTGTTAAATCTGTTAAATCCTATTTACAAATCGAGTTAGTAAATTCAGATATAATAAACGAAAGAAGTAAAAATAAATTTCTTAAACCCCACTTAAAAGTATAACATTTATCTAACATGATATTAAAAATACAATTTTGTACCAAAACCCTGGTCTTCTTCCCCGCCGCTACCCCAAAATTCCCAACAGGACCGAAGTCGCTGCCGGAGCTCGTGTAGAAGGCATCAGCGAGTGTCTGAAGGAGAAAAGAAAGTCCGGCTTTCCCCCAAACTTCCCATTTCTGCCCTAAACCATCGTTTATGTCACTCCTCCTCTCCAGTTTTGGCTCAAAGCCATCGCCTTGGTGAACGAACCTTCGCGATACATTCGCCAACATAGCTGGCTGGGAAGGAAACGACGGGATCGCGACTTACAGAGGCCGCCGAAACTCCCATCTTTCTCATCCTTCCGCTCTGCTCCTACCTGAAACCATTAACGAAGGCAAGCCTATTCGCGCCGTTCTTCCTTTTCGCTCTAAATCCGCAGATTCACAGGATTCTGCATTCATCACGAATCGGCTTCATCATTTGAAATAATCAAATTTTCTTTCCTTTTTAGGAATTAGTTCTTTTGTGATGAATGCAGTGAGCTTGACTTTAGTAAATCGAGTTCCTTCCTACAAAATTGCGATTAATGTTTCGCAAAGCAGTCGCTCCGCGAGCTTTGTGGCTGGGGATCATCGCAAAAAAACTTATTGTTGTAGTTTGCTCGTATGGAAATATTACATTGAGAAAACAAGGCAGAGTTTTAAAGTGTTTGCAGGGTAGAAATAATCTTCCTGAAGTAGATAGTTCTGCTGAAGAAAAATATGGTGGGTCTGGAGGTTCTGTAAGAAAAAATCTGGCAGTTTTTGTCTCCGGCGGAGGATCAAATTTTCGTGCCATTCACAATGCTTCTATGAATGGATTAATTCACGGAGATGTTGTGGTTCTTGTCACTGATAAGCCTGGTAATTTTCTTTGCCAGACATATTTATTGATACAATTATTCCCTGCGGTACATTTCTCTTCATGGTTGGAATCATACGATATTAGTTTTATATGCCATCATTCCGTTATTTTTTACTGATTTTGTGTGCCATTATTCTGAGAAGTTTTGGATTGCATATCAATTTATTCAAATTTTGATTTACATTTGGTTGGAAATTTTTAAAAATTAAGTTTTTGGTGGGAATATTAAATATGAAAAGAAGGAAAGTTACCTTTATTATTGAGATTGTTAGCAGAATGAATAATAGCTGTGCCATGTCTTTTGAATGGTAATACTAAATTTTTCGCTATTTGATATGTAATATTTTAAAAAAATGTGATACACAACTATTGATTGTTGACCTCATCTGCATTACAGGTTGTGGTGGTGCTGAATATGCAAGAGATCACAACATACCTGTCATACAATTCCCAAAACATAAAGACTCACTTGAGGGATTTTCACCGAATGATCTCTTAATTTCCTTAAGGTGAAACCTTTTTGATATAAGTCTATGCATAGGTTTCTATGTTTAAAACTAATTCTTCACTTAGAGACCTGATTATGATTTCTATAACTGATATTCTGCACACTGCATTATTCCCAATCTTCATAACGACTACAATAGATGCATTATTCATAATAGAGTAAACAACAATAAAAAGCCTTTATATCACTAAGTGGGGTTGGTTACATGATTTATTTTTCTCCATTGTGTCCTATTAAGTGCCATATTTTCATTTAATTCTAAAATATTAAAATCATTTTTTATACAACAAGCCCAAGTCTTTGTAGGTCTACATTTACCTTTCTTACCATAAGTCAAATCCAAATCATCTGCTCTCCTAACAAGATCATCATATGGTCGACGTTTAATGTGGCTGAACCATCTAAGAAGTCTCTTCTCTAATCTTATCTGCCACCAACCCTATCAAAGATTAAATCCATTTTTTATACAACAAGCCCAAGTCTTTTTAGGTCTACATTTACCTTTCTTACCATAAGTCAAATCTAAAACATCTACACTCCTTACCGAATCATCAGATGGTTGAGGTTTAATGTGACCAAACCATCTAAGACGAATCTCTCTAATCTTGTACGCGACTGGAGCTACATCAACCTCATCACGAATATATTTATTTTGAATTTTGTCTCTAAGTGTCAAGTCACTCATCCACCTAAACATTCTCATCTCAGCAACACTTAACTTTATTTTATGCTATTTTGAGCCATTAAGCATTGCAGGTCTCACCACCATCTTATAAAATTTTTCTATAAGTCTAAGTAGTACTTTCTATCACATCATAGGTCTGATGCATTCCTCTACCTCAACCATCCAACTTGAATTCTACTAATAACATCCTCATCTATATCATCATCACTTTGCACAATATACCCGAGATATCTAAACTATTCACTCCTTGGTGAATGCTTTCACTGAAGATATCCTTCTTGTAGATATGACTAGAGAAAGTGTTACCGAAAACTTGAATTATGAAGGTCTACTTGAGAGTCTAAAGGTGTTCATTTGAGTAGATCCAAAACTCAATACATGGAATGCAATTTTAGTAGTAGTAGATGTAGTGGCATGGTTAAAAGTGCTAAATTAATCCCCGGATCTTTTTAACGGGGGGTTACAATAGCTTCACCGGGGACTATTTCAACCCATAAGTGATTTTGGCACAAAATTGACACTTTTATAAACTTTCAGTCCACCAGCCGTAAAAAGTCAAGAGACCAATTTGACACATTTCTTATTCAAAATATTAGGCCTTCTTTGTCTTCTTGTTCAATCTTAATAGAATATTTATTTCATGAAGGAAATGGAAGGTCCACTTTATTCTACTGGCTGGCTTCTTGAAATTGATTCCTACTGAGTTAATCCAGGCATTTCCGAGATCTATGTTGAATATTCATCCTTCTCTTCTGCCAGCCTTTGGTGGTAAAGGATACTATGGGCTAAAGGTTCATAAAGCTGTCATTTCTTCTGGGGCTAGGTGAGATGTTGTTTTTGTTAATCTTCTTCAGGCTTGAATGTAAACTAAATATTTCTAGGAGGATTTGAATACATACCACTTAATTCTTATGTTTTTACATATCTAACACCTAAACTTCAATGTATATATATATCTACGACGTTACCTATGCATGAAAAGTTGTATTTGACTTTTTAAAAGAACCATTAAGCTTTGCAGGTCTCACCACCATCTTATAAAATTTTTCTATAAGTCTAAGGAGTACTTTCTATCACATGATAGGTCCGATGCATTCCTCTACTTCAACCATCCAACTTGAATTCTACTAATAACATCCCCATCTATATCATCATCACTTTGCACAATATACCTGAGATATCTAAACTGTTCACTCCTTGGTGAATGCTTTCACCGAAGATATCCTTCTTGTGGATATGACTAGAGAAAGTGTTCCCGAAAACTTGAATTATGGAGGTCTACTTGAGAGTCTAAAGGTGTTCATTTGAGTAGATCCAAAACTCAATACATGGAATGCAATTTTAGTGGTAGTAGATGTAGTGGCATGGTTAAAAGTGCTAAATTAATCCCCGGATCTTTTTAACGGGGGGTTACAATAGCTTCACCGGGGACTATTTCAACCCATAAGTGATTTTGGCACAAAATTGACACTTTTATAAACTTTCAGTCCACCAGCCGTAAAAAGTCAAGAGACCAATTTGACACATTTCTTATTCAAAATATTAGGCCTTCTTTGTCTTCTTGTTCAATCTTAATAGAATATTTATTTCATGAAGGAAATGGAAGGTCCACTTTATTCTACTGGCTGGCTTCTTGAAATTGATTCCTACTGAGTTAATCCAGGCATTTCCGAGATCTATGTTGAATATTCATCCTTCTCTTCTGCCAGCCTTTGGTGGTAAAGGATACTATGGGCTAAAGGTTCATAAAGCTGTCATTTCTTCTGGGGCTAGGTGAGATGTTGTTTTTGTTAATCTTCTTCAGGCTTGAATGTAAACTAAATATTTCTAGGAGGATTTGAATACATACCACTTAATTCTTATGTTTTTACATATCTAACACCTAAACTTCAATGTATATATATACCACCTTACCTATGCATGAAAAGGTGTATTGACTTTTTAAAAGTTAAAATAGTGGCATTTCTTATGTGATATGAAAGATTTGAGTAGGACAAATGTGAAAAATAAAGTTATAGATACATAGGAATTAGGTGGCATGTATGTAAATGGCCCATGTTTCTAATATCTTTACCTTTATGTGTTCACAACTTTTTTTTTTTAAATTGGCACACATACCTGAATATGTCAGGCCTTGATTACAAGACCTTATGGCTGGAGACAAAGCATACAATCACTCGGCCAACTTGGCTGCACTAACCTTTGCTTTGTGAAATTTTATTATTTGTGGAAAATCTAACTTTGTATCTGAATCTTTATGCTATAAATGATTTTTAGTGCATTTATTTTGTGGGGTTATCTTGTTCTAATGAACATTGTGAAGCTATAACTCCATTTGGTGAAACCTTCGGTTGTTTGATTGTTTGGAAAGGAAAGGATAAGTTATTGTGAGAACAATTTCAGCTTTATGATGGCAAGAAAATATTTTCCTATAATTATGGGT